GCACGGAGAGTTTCCATATACCTCTTACCCAGTTTCCCCCAAGGCTAACATCTCACAGCACATGGTACATTTGTCAAAACTCAGAAGTCTGGCACTGGGGAACCAAAGAAAGATCAAAAGGAGGAGAAACAGTAGTAAATTTTGTAGCCAAAAGGACAACATGAAGCTTGGGAGTAAAGAGACTTCTGAGCAGAAATGGGCAAACGTCAGTCTTCTTACTGTGTTTTTGCAGTATTCTATATATAATTTCCTTAATCTGTAAATTTAGTGACTGTTAGCTAATGATCATTTAATGGGCAACAATTCCAACAGTACAAAGTTCAAAAATTTACAGAATATAAAAAAACAAAACAAAACAAAACAGAAACCTCAGAAGCCAACACTGGTACTATATTATTAATTAAACTCCAGACTTGATTTGAATTTCACTAGTTTTTGCACTAATGTCCTTTTCCTGTTGCAGGATGCCACTTTGCATTTGGATACCAACCTTTTAAAAGAATATTAGCATGATTAAAGGTTTGGTTTTTTTTTTGAGACAGAGTCTCACTCTCTTGTCTGGGCTAGAGTGCCATGGTGTCAGCCTAGCTCACAGCAACCTCAAACTCCTGGGCTCAAGCTATCCTCCTGCCTAAGCCTCCCTGGTAGCTGGGATTACAGGCATGTGTCACTGTGCCCGGCTAATTTTTTTTTTTCTATTTTTAGTTGTTTGGCTACTTTCTTTCTATTTATAGTAGAGATGGGGTCTCGCTCTTGCTCAGGCTGGTCTCGAACTCCTGACCTCAAGTGTTCCACCCGCCTCAGCCTCCTAGAGTGCCAGGATTACAGGTGTGAGCCACGGTGCCAGGCCAATTTTTATGTGTTAATCCGAGTTATTTGACTCTGGGGGATGGCCTAAAAATGGAGTGAGAACCCAGACTGGCCTGACTGTAGAGTACGGACCATTTTGGGCAAAATGCTTAGCAGATACTGTCAGTCCTGCTGTGACCTCAAGTCCTCAGCATCTCCTTTTAGATCCAAAGTGTGCTCAGATTTCATCCTGCCTTCCTGTCACCCTAATCCCCGTATTTAAAGGCTCCCTCCAGAAGGCCAGAGGCTTCAAAATTACTGCTCCTCATTTAAATGTATTCTGTCTACAGAGGATCTCAGCTACCAATTTGGAAAATGGCAAATTATTTTACCCAGGTGAAACTGTTGTTGGCTCTATACCAGAGGATATTTACATTCTAAAAGGCAATGTTTACAAATGGAAAGAAATGCTGAATTTGTAGATTTTCAGGCTTTAAAACTAAGTGAAGAATGTGAAAGAGAGAAGTGTATTCTTAAATTCTAAATTTACTATCCTCCTCCAGCTTTGTCAATCTGGACCTGATGCTTCATTCTCACATGACTTATTTCTCTGCTTGAAAGCCCTATCCTATTCATTCTTCAGAATTCAGAATAGTTGTCGCTTTCTTAGGGGGATTATCCCAGATTATGTTGGCTTCTTCTGTTATAGGCTCCCACAGTACACCCATAGTTCTTTTGAAATCCTGACCACACCTGCAATTTTTTGTTTGGTATCTATCACCTTCTCTATTAGATGACAAGTTCTGTGAGAGAAGGACAAGGGTCTGCCTTGTTCACTATTATCTCCTTGGTACCTGGAATATGGCAGATACTCAAATATTTGATGATAAATGAAGACATGAATAAAGGATGGGGGTCTAGTGCTCTTACTCTAGGTCTACTGGTGACTTTTACATTAGTGTTTTCTGGAAAAGTAAATGGGAATTAAATATTTGGCCTCTTTAAAGCTAAATAGATAAAACCACTGTTTCCAAAACACATCTTCTTTTTTTTTTTGAGACGGAGTCTCGCTCTGTTGTCCGGGCTAGAGTGCCGTGGAGTCAGCCTAGCTCACAGCAACCTCAAACTCCTGGGCTCAAGCAATCCTCCTGCCTCAGCCTCCCAAGTAGCTGGGACTAAAGGCATGTGCCACCATGCCCGGCTAATTTTTTCTATATATTTTTAGTTGTCCAATTAATTTCTTTCTATTTTTAGTAGAGACGGGGGGCGGGGGGGGGGTCTTGCTCTTGCTCAGGCTGGTCTCGAACTCCTGACCTCAAGTGTTCCACCCGCCTCAGCCTCCTAGAGTGCCAGGATTACAGGTGTGAGCCACGGTGCCAGGCCAATTTTTATGTGTTAATCCGAGTTATTTGACTCTGGGGGATGGCCTAAAAATGGAGTGAGAACCCAGACTGGCCTGACTGTAGAGTACGGACCATTTTGGGCAAAATGCTTAGCAGATACTGTCAGTCCTGCTGTGACCTCAAGTCCTCAGCATCTCCTTTTAGATCCAAAGTGTGCTCAGATTTCATCCTGCCTTCCTGTCACCCTAATCCCCGTATTTAAAGGCTCCCTCCAGAAGGCCAGAGGCTTCAAAATTACTGCTCCTCATTTAAATGTATTCTGTCTACAGAGGATCTCAGCTACCAATTTGGAAAATGGCAAATTATTTTACCCAGGTGAAACTGTTGTTGGCTCTATACCAGAGGATATTTACATTCTAAAAGGCAATGTTTACAAATGGAAAGAAATGCTGAATTTGTAGATTTTCAGGCTTTATTTTTTAAGGTGAAAAGATACATATATTTAGAATTAGCCAGTGGGATGATCCCAATTTTGTTGGCAACATCCAAAGCATCATAATCAGGAGGCAGTCGAATATATGCCTTCTTCCCTCCATCAGGCCTTATCAGGGTGTTGACCTTGGCCACATCAATGTCATAGAGCTTCTTCACAGCCTGTTTGATCTGGTGCTTGTTGGTTTTGACATCCACAATGAACACAATGTGTTGTTGTCTTCTATCTTCTTCATGGCCAACTCAGTGGTCAAGGGGAACTTAATGATGGAATAGTGGTCAAGCTTGTTTCTCCTGGGGGCACTCTTCCGAGGATATTTGGGTTGCCTCCAGAGCTCCGGTGTCTTTGGCTGCCAGAAGGTGGGTGACATATGGATCTTTTCTTTGTGGCTGTGGACGCCTTTTAGCACTGCCTTCTTGGCCTTCAAAGCCTTTGATTTGGCTTTAGCTTTGGCTTTGGGAGGGGCAGCAGCTTCCTTCTTCGCCTTCAGCGCCATCTTGTGAAAAGGCGATTTTCAGGCTTTAAAACTAAGTGAAGAATGTGAAAGAGAGAAGTGTATTCTTAAATTCTAAATTTACTATCCTCCTCCAGCTTTGTCAATCTGGACCTGATGCTTCATTCTCACATGACTTATTTCTCTGCTTGAAAGCCCTATCCTATTCATTCTTCAGAATTCAGAATAGTTGTCGCTTTCTTAGGGGGATTATCCCAGATTATGTTGGCTTCTTCTGTTATAGGCTCCCACAGTACACCCATAGTTCTCTTGAAATCCTGACCACACCTGCAATTTTTTGTTTGGTATCTATCACCTTCTCTATTAGATGACAAGTTCTGTGAGAGAAGGACAAGGGTCTGCCTTGTTCACTATTATCTCCTTGGTACCTGGAATATGGCAGATACTCAAATATTTGATGATAAATGAAGACATGAATAAAGGATGGGGGTCTAGTGCTCTTACTCTAGGTCTACTGGTGACTTTTACATTAGTGTTTTCTGGAAAAGTAAATGGGAATTAAATATTTGGCCTCTTTAAAGCTAAATAGATAAAACCACTGTTTCCAAAACACATCTTCTTTTTTTTTTTGAGACGGAGTCTCGCTCTGTTGTCCGGGCTAGAGTGCCGTGGAGTCAGCCCGGCTCACAGCAACCTCAAACTCCTGGGCTCAAGCCATCCTCCTGCCTTAGCCTCCCAAGTAGCTGGGACTAAAGGCATGTGCCACCATGGATGGCTAATTTTTTCTCTATATATTTTTAGTTGTCCGATTAATTACTTTCTAATTTTAGTAGAGACGGGGTCTCGCTCTTGCTCAGGCTGGTCTCAAGCTCCTGAGCTCAAGCAATCCTCCCGCCTCGGCCTCCCGGAGTGCTAGGATTACAGGTGTGAGCCACCGTGCCCAGCCTATATTACGTATTTGTTAGAAACAAATCTCACACTTGCTTTCTCAAAGCATAAAGGACAGAAACACAGATTTCTATCTCCTGGGACACTCACCTGCAGAACTGCCAAGGGCTCAGGACAGGAAATCTGGTGAATCATGGATCTGCAAGCTTCTGGCAATGGAGCACTTCAATCTACAAAGCCAAGTATTTTCCTCCCTTAAGAATAAATTGTTGGCTAGACACTGTGGCTCACACCTGTAATCCTAGTACTCTAGGAGGCTGAGACGGGAGGATTGCTTGAACTCAGGAGTTCAAGACCAGCCTGAGCAAGAGTGAGACACCGTCTCTACTAAAAATATAAAAATTAGCCAGATATTGTGGCATGTGCCTTGATTATTTATTAAAAAAAAAAAAGAATAAATTGTCCATTAAGCTTGAAGAGCAGCACAAAACCTATTTTCTTTGTTTCTTTCCTGCACAGAGATTTGCTCCATTAAGGTCATCTGAAATTCACTGGGTAAGGTATTTAGAGTAAGCCAGAATGCCAGGACAACCAACTCTAAATGTGTTAGATGCTAAACTCTTGGGTTCTTGATGTTCTGTCCCTTTCTTTCTTTTGGCTGGGTTCTTTATCTCTAGGACAAAAAACTAAATCCCCCACCCTTATGCCCCACACTATGAGTGTCAGATGAGAGGAGATAAAGAAACTTCCTGGAGTTTGGGCTCTATTTCCTAGCCCTGGGGGCTCATACTTAAGCTCCTCCCCACTCCTAAACCACTCTATTTCCCTTCATGCATGGCAGGGCTTGGTTGAGGGTTCTGGGAGCAATCCCTACCCTGGAATGTCAGAGGGAATAAGTGAACACACAGGAAATCTGATTGGTAAAGGATTCAAGAAGAAAGGCTAATGCTTTCCTCAGGTGAAAACTGCTGGTCCAGAGGGGAGTTCAGAGCAGGTACCAAGAGATACATGCTGAAATAAATGAACAACTGGATTAGAAAAATAAGCAAAACTTAAGTAGACTTTATTTTCAAAGTCCTTGAGATATAAAAGAAGACACTGGCAAAGCCTGAAGATAACACAAACCAACCCCCTGAGTGTTAGAGTACTCTAGGGGTGAAAGACGCTAGGGGTAGAAAGCTGGGTGGAAGATGCAACATTTTTCTAGCTTCAGAACCTCAGAGAGCCCAGATCACAGCCAGAACATTATGGAATTGGTTACAGATTCTTTACAAAGGTGTTTACCTGTGGGAAAGAGAAAAAATCAAAAGTTAAATTTCACATTTAACAGACTGTTCAAATAGTCTACCCACAATGCATATGTAGCCAAGCCCATGAGGTTTTTGTTAGGAAGGGAAAACAGGCGCGGAGAAGAAATGCGAGCAGGCCAGGGTCATATAGCAAGTGGCGGAGTTGGGAATAGAATCCAGAAGTCTAATTTTCTTAGTTTTAGAATACCTTAGAGGAGAAAGTCAGCTGGCAAGCATGTGTTACAAGTCAATTATTTAACAATTATTAGCCCAATATATTCATACTTTAGAGAATAGGGATTATATTTGTAATTTGTACAAGATCCCATAGGCTTTGGAGCATGAAATGCAATTTGAAATGCAAAGCACAAGAATCATTATACTGAACTTTGAAGCAAAGGCTGGAAAGATAAACCCACCTTGCTCATGAGTTCTTCTTGTTTGGTTACTTCTTCAGAAAAATCATCATTGACATCCAATACCAGCACTGGAATGTTCAGCATACCCTCAGAGTGGAGCCTATAAGAAGTATGAACATTTGGGGACAGAAAAAAAGAAAAGAAACTTGAGCCAAGTTTCAAATACTCACCAAGCTGAGAATAGATCTAAATTCATGTGGCTTCTCAATAAAACTGCATGTGAACAGCGCTTTAAAAAATGAATTCAATCAAGTTGGCTAGAAAGAGAAAGGTTGAGATTTCTCTTTAGTCTTGAGAGTGATACTAAAGGTCAGAGCTCCAAACATTTTAAGTGGACAGCCAACCAAGCCTGAGGGGGGACAGGCAGAAACTAAGAATGTAAACTTAGTAAAACTGATCATTTCTCTAAAGTTTGTCAGCCCTTCACCCTGAGCCAACTACCACCATCAATCACAATGTTACATCTAGGGAAATGTTAAGAGAAAAAGAAAAAGAAAAAAAAAAAAAAGCTGGAGAAATAGAATCTAATAAAAAGTTTCTTGGAATGTACAGATTATATTCGATATTAAATTTCTGAGTTGGAAAATGCTTGACATTTCCAGCCACTTCCAGTACATTCTGAACTTTCTTATGGGGCTGCCTGGTGAACTTCTTGTTTTTAACTGGCTGTAGGGAGGCAGGTCTCTGTCTGATAACACTCTCTTTTCCACTTACTTAGTTGTCTTGTGAATAAACCAGGCTTCGTGTTGACCATGAAGCTGCTCGAGATAGGCCAGCTCAATTCCTTTCTCTTCCTCCCTGGCCCTCAGGTGTAGTCTCTTCAAGCAAACCTAAAAGACAATCCCCAGATCCCAGTGAGCTCATTTGCTGTTTTGACTGTGACAATGCAATCTTGGGGGGCTCAGAAGACCCACTCACAATGTCTATCTCAGGCATTATAAGCCATGACTTTGCTTCTGCTGTCCTGTTTTGTTGTTTAACTGGAGGATCTATACCATTCTCTCCACCTCCACCTTAAACTTGCTCTTAAACAGGCTTCTGTAGCATCCTAAACTGGTTATGGGCAAACATCATCCACTCAGTCATCCAAGGCAGGGACCTGAATTTTCCTTCCTTTTCCTCCTCCCAACCACATTCAGGAAGTCACTAAATTCTCTTTAATCTCTCTCCAGTTGGTTCTCTGCTTGCCTCTCCTCTCACCTCTGCCCCAGTCAGGTCTTCATCCCCTCTCATGTAGATTGCGGAAAGAGCCTCCTGACTCTATGCTTCCTGGAGGCAGAGAAGTATATGCAAAGAGCACAGGCCTTAAGGGCAGAAAGTCCAGGAGTAAATTCCTGCCTTCATCATGTACTAGCGGTGCAATCTTTGTGGGCTTCCATCTCCTCATCCTGCACCCACCCACAGGACACTGTGAAGATTCACTGAGGCAGGGCATGTCAAGCTCCTGGCAAAAGCGATTCCCTCCCTCCAGTCCACCCTTCCATAGTACTGCAAAGTAATAGCATTATGTTCTCTGCTTAAAATACTTCACAGGCTCCTTACTGCCTATAGTCATAACCCCCAGGGTTTGAGAAGTACGAGTAGTAATTTGAAACGTCTCTTTCCTATCATACCAAATGTACTCTGGAGTAGAATGCAAATTGCATAGGTCAAAGATAAAACAAAGTAGTGGAAAAAAAAGTGAGGCTTGAGACTAACTCTCCTTCCCTCCCCCTTTGCAGAGTGCATATAATTCTATGCTGCATTCATCTGGTAGGAAAGTGCAAAGCACAGAAAGATGTATTCTCCTTTACCTGTCACACAGGGTCACCCCTCCTACTTTTCCTAAACTTCCTTAGCTCTTCTCCCGGACTCACTGCTTTAACCAGATTTGACCTCCTTCCCGAGGGACGTACCAAACTCTCTCACACCTCAAAATTTTTGCTCCAGATGTTTGTTTTGCCTGAGTTGCCCTCATTCCTCTCTCTGCCTGGCAAACATTTCATTATTCAATATTGTCTGTGCTGGAAGAATAGATGGACTAACCCACTGATTTAGGACTTCCCTCTTTGAAATATTTAAAACTTAATTCCCCAATGTAGTATACAATATTCCCAAAGACTTGGGGTCTTTGCTGTTTCCCTGTTATCTTTTTTCTAAGCAAATGAAATTGTATAAATAAATTTCATTTATGACCAAAAGGAATGTGTACTTGCTAATATATTGCTAAAGTGCCTCCTTAGTGGTTAACCAATGTATATTACCAGCAGCAAGGCAGCTTTAGGATTTCTATTTTTTTTTGGAGACAGAGTCTTGCTCTGTTGCCCAAGGTAGAGTGCCGTGGCATTAGCCTAGCTCACAGCAACCTCAGACTCCTGGGCTCAAGCGATCCTCCTGCCTCAGCCCCCCGAGTAGCTGGGACTACAGGTGTGCGCCACCACGCCCGGCTAATTTTTTTTTCTATTTTTAGTAGAGATGGGGTCTCACTCTTGCTCAGGCTGGTCTTGAACTCCTGACCTCAAGCAATCCTCCCACCTCGGCCTCCCAGAGTGCTTAGGATTTATAAACATAGCAAAGCTATTTAACTTTCTTGGAGAGAAAAATGCCTGAATTAGTGCAAATATATATGTTTTTAAATATAGCTTTATGTTTTCAAGTACACACAAAGGCAGAGCAATTCTTTTTACAAAAGCTATTTATAATCATTCATTCATTGCTTTTAGACAAACATTGATGCTACATTGATCTCCTATTAAAACAGGCTGACATTTCCCTTTTTACTATTAATTTGCTTAACAGAGCAAATGCTTTCCCCCTAGAAGTCTAAGTAAACTCCTATTTTGAGCATTTGGTATAATTCTTGTTTTACTCATAAGGTTACAACAAATTCATTTTTAAAAAAATCCTGTGCCGGCTGGGCATGGTGGCTCACGTCTGTAATCTTAGCACTCCGGGAGGCCAAGGCAGGAGGATCGCTCAGGATTCGACACCAGCCCGAGCAAGAGCGAGACCCTGTCTCTACTAATAGAAAAAATTAGCCCAGCATGGTGATGAGTGCCTGTAGTCCCAGCTACTCAGGAGGCTGAGGCAGGAGGATCGCTTGAGCCCAAGAATTTAAGGTTGCTGTGAGCTAGGCTGATGCCATGGCACTCTAGCCTGGGCATCAGAGTGAGACTCTGTCTCAAAAACAAACAAACAAACAAAAAACCAAAAAATACCCCAAAAGAAAACAAACAAAAACAACTGTGCAAACAGTGCTTTGAGTCTGGCCCCTCTTCCCCTCTGTGGGAAGACACACCTGTCTGTGAGCAGGAAAGACAGAGTAGCTGCAAATGGCAGGGGAGGGACCCTTTGCCAATCTTCTAAACCTGTCCCACCCAGGAAGAAAAGCTGCTGTTCTGATTGGAGTGAGAGACAGGACAGGAACTGGACCCTGACTGCCACTGTACCCTCAAGCTCCAAACCCAGGTGCCATTTGTTCCAGTACATCTGCATGCTGTTTCCATGCTGTGACAGTCCCAGGCAGGGCCTGGCTTTTTGAGGCACATTGGCTAGCTATACTCTCTTCCTGATTCCACGGAGCTGGTTGTGGGAACACTACAGCCCAGCCATTTCTGATTTTTTTTTTTTTAATTGCCAGCTTGCTTACTTTTTAGAAGTTAGAGAAGAATGGGTGGAAAGGAGCAGAAGGCCCTACTGAGATTCACCTCAGATTGTTTTTTTTTTTTTTTTTTTACGTTGTACTGGTTTGCAGTCCCACACCTTACATTCTGTAAACTCAGTATTTACCAGGGCTCTGCACTAGACTATTAGATACTTGAACAACTTTTTACATAGAAATATTTTAACTTCTGTTCTGCTCTTCCCTTGGGTATAGTTACCTCTAAATTTCACAGAAGAGGTCAGGAGTGGCTTCAGGGAAGGAATATGAGCATACCTGGGTCCCTGGATCTAATGCTATCAAAATAGCACTAAAATCCCCATCTAATTCCAAAATGAATAAGCTATTTTTCTTTTCTGTCATTAAGTTGCAATAATCCTTCAATTCCCCTCATGCTACCCCAGCTGAAATACTTCAATCAGCCTCTACAAAAAGATAAATCAGCCCCCCAGTGATAATAATAATCACCATTGCCATCTGCTATGGTTTGTGTACCCCAGAATTCACGTGTTGGAAATTTGGTCCCCAGTGTGTCGGTGTTGGGAGGTCGTACCTTTAAGAGGTGATTAGGTCATTAAAAGGGATTAATGTCACTCTCCCAGGACTGGGTTAATTCTTAAAGGAGTGAGTACTCTGGAGCACTGAACTGGTTATGGAGAGAGCAGGTTGTCATAAAGCAGGGCTGCCCCTCATGTTTTGCACTTTTGTATGTGCCCAGTCTCCACCATGTGATGACACAGCATGAGGCTCTCACCAGAGGCCTACCAGATGCGGCTGCCCAATCTTGGGAGTTCCCAGCCTCCAGAACTATGAGCCAAAATAAACCTCTTTTCTTGATAAATTACCCAGTGTCAGGTGTTCCATTATAGCAACAGAAAATGGACAAAGACACCATCCCTGTCCCTTTCTCACAAGGTCATTCAAAGTACACAAAGCAGAAAAGCAAGGAAGACCTTCTTCCTTTCCTTGCTGGGTCTCAGTGTCCCGGTCCAACCTGCACTCCCCAGAAACAAGAGGCTCTGCAGCTGGCCACGCAGCCTGTTACACTCCCAGGAATGAGTCAGCCCACTTCCTCCTTTGCTCCTTCCCAACACTGTCTTCATGGCACCAAGTTGATTGCGCTGAAGTTCTGTTTCTCTTGGAAAAGTTTAGGTCGGTACTCTGAATTCTCCCAATGCTCAACCTCCTGCTTCTTTTAGCACAGCCAACCGACAACCCCATGGGAAACCTGTCACCTCTTCAAATTCCAACCAAATCTTCACTCAGCACAATTCCACAGCACTCTCATCCCTTCTTGGGCCAGGCCATAAGCCCTCATGAGGCCCAGGGACTTCTCTCTCACCCTGAACACTACACTCAGCTACTTCAAGCTGTCCGCTTCAGGAGGGGACTCCTCTTCCCCCAATCACTGACACCAATCCCTACCCTTAAAGTACAATCACCTTCATAGTTTGCCTCTTCTACTCCTGCTCCCAGGCAATGAAGACTACTAAAAGAAGTCACATAAACATGACCCACCTGGTCAGCTTGCAATCAATGCATCTAACTTCAGCTTGATTCTTTTTTTGAGACAGGTCTTGCTCTGGGCTAGAGTGCAGTGGCATCATGATAGCTCACTGCAACTTCAAATTCCTGGGCTCAAGCGATCCTCCTGCCTTGGCCTCCCAAAGTGCTACGATTATAGGGTGAGCCACCACGCCCTGCCAGCTTGGTTCCTTTCATGGAAGGTTCTCGGCCATCTGGCCTCACTGAATCTCTAGTTCAGTTTCACTTTAAACCTTAGATCCTATTTATTTCTGTAGAATCCCTTATTCCCTCCTATGGTCTAGATTTTACCTCACAATCTCCAGAAACTCCCAACACAAAGACCCTCAATATCTGGCCCCAGTCATACTCAAGGGCCTCTTTCCTGGCTGCCACCTTCCTGAGGCAAGGCCCTTGTTTGCAGTCTGTGTGGCGGGAGCTCTCCTACTCTTACTCTGACTCTGCTCAGTCTGCTCTCAGGCCCCCTTCTGCCCACAGGCTCAGTCCCATCTCTAAAAAGCATGGCCTCCAGATGGAAGACGGCTTTCCCTCCTTCTAAGATTATGTGGTATATCTGGCATTTGACCATATAGTGGATGTATGTCTCAAAAGCTGAAAGAAATACATCTCTCAAAAAATACCTCTTGTCTTGACTCAGAATCCAACTCCAGAAGACCGTTCAGAGATATCTAGTCCAAGCCAGTGGATTTTTACAAACAAGGACACCACTAGTGGAAAGGTTTCCAGGAGCTGCCCAAGGTCACTGCCAGTCAGCAGAGGCCAAGGACCATTGCTCTCTCCGGAGACTTCAGTGCTCCTGCCATGACATCATCCTATTATGTGCCAGGCTAGCTCCGAAGTCCAAATCAGAGAGTCACAAAGTACAACTTCTGTAGTACATCCTGCCTTGCCAATGGCACAAAGGTTCAAAAAGGGGTTATAAATTAGAGCAGTATCAAGATGAGGTAAGGAAACCCTCCTTCTCTTTCTCCCCACATCCTATTCAGGAAACCATCAAGGCCACTACAGATGCTGATGACCCAGTTAGAGAAAAGGAGGAGCTGAGGCAACTGGCTGCAGGTCAGTGTTCAACCTGCAAACCCTGAGTGATAAAGATAATGCCCAATTTGCTCTGTGCTGTTGCTACATCAAGAGGGACCCTTCTACGCACAGGCAAATGCCTTAGCACTCTGCTGCACAAAGCCTGTGGGAAGCAGGGTGCTCAATGCCAGGATGGGAGGATGTTCACCTACTGCTCTCTATGCACTGGGTAATGCCCACACTCTTATTTCTCCAACCAGAAAATCAGAGGCTTGAAGAATGTCACCACTTAGGTTTCACATGGCCCTAAAGTCCAAGGTTTTAGCTTCTGTGTTACCTGGGGAGTAGCCTGGAGGTAGATGAAGCCATGTAATATGAGCCGGCTGGCAAACTCCTGCAGGAGAAAAGAATGCCAGTCCTGATAGATATGCCATTCGATGTCACTGAGGGAACCATTTTCAAAAAGATTCTTTGCAAAGATATACCTGGTTAGAAACATAAGTGGGGTGAGGATGGGGGGGAGGTAGGGAGAATGGGACATGGAATGAAAGGCACAAGACAGAGAGAAGCAGAAAAATCAATAACCAACTTATTCCATCTCTGTTCAAACCACTTAACCTTTCTAGCTCCTCATCAATCCTTAAGAAATGTGAATTCTTAACCTACATTTCCTTCCCTGTTTAATACTAAGATGGGAAATAGCATCTAGACTGTAGAAGCTGAAATCATACCTTTCCAGGTGGATTAATTCACTGGAAGAAAGGGGACACTAGAAGAGAAATCATTGGTCCCTAACAATCCTCCCTACTAGATAACAGTTGGAACATACAGCAAATGGTACAGGTAAATTTTGAGATTTCCTATTATTATTATTATTATTGCAAGGCCCAAATAAAAAAACAAAAACAAAAACAAAACAAAAAAATCCACGTGAATCCAGTACAAAGCCACCTACTACATTTCACTTAAGGACTGAGGGTGTCTAAGTCCCCAAGCTGCTAAGCCATCTTTTTGTCTAGTTGAGAAGTGGAGAAGGACCTACTTTTACGTGGTATTATCTATGGAGGAGGAAATGCATTTCCTATTAACTTCAGTGTTACCAAGAAAGCAGACTCTCCTCCAAAGTACAAATGAGCTCTTATTTGCTTGCTTCTTCTGCTGCTGAGCTTCTAACTCAGATAAAAGAAAACTAAAACTAAAAATCAAACTAACTTTGACCCTTGCTTACTTCCACAACTAAAAGGGCATCTGGGAAATAGGAAATCAGAGCTAAACAGAAACTGCAGCTTCAGAAGGGTATATGCTGCTTTGAAACTTCAGGCATCTTAATACAAAACACAATTTATATTCTAAACAATGAGCTTCAGTTTCTAAGGCAACACTCAGCAATTGGCCACTTCTTAGAAAATAAAACTCAGAATCTTTTGTGTATGAATGGCTCAGGGAAATGCAGGCTACAAGGCTGTGAGTGTCACCACTAAGAGAAAAGGTTCCAGAGTAACATTCCAGGGTCTGATCCTAGCTATAACATTCCATAGCTATGTCACCCTGAGCAAGTCACCTAAACTCTTTCAGACTGTTATGTGATGACTTGTATATAATACTCATAAAGTGCTTAGAAGAGTGAAATAGTATTGGAGATATCTTAGTTGTTATTATAACTGCTTTTTTGCTAGGCTATGAAGAGAACCTAATTTGAAACACGAACTTTTCCCAGTATGGAACGGTTTAACTATAGTCTAGCTGAAGGCAACAAAGGAAAAGTGATGTTTATAACTCAAGTTCTGAAAAATGTTTTCAGCATCTTCACAAGAAAAGTAGGAGATGAAATTAAGATGTTATAAAGAGAAATTAAAGATTTGTTAATAAGCCCTTAGAAAAGGAGGTATAGGCCGGGCGCGGTGGCTCACGCCTGTAATCCTAGCACTCTGGGAGGCTGAGGCAGGAGGATTGCTTGAGGTCAGGAGTTTGAGACCAGCCTTAGCAAGAGCGAGAGCCCTGTCTCTACTAAAAAGAGACAGAAATTATCTGGACAACTAAAAATATATGGAAAAAAATTAGTCGGGCATGGTGGCGCATGCCTGTAGTCCCAGCTACTCGGGAGGCTGAGGCAGTAGGATCGCTTGAGCCCAGGAGTTTGAGGTTGCTGTGAGCTAGGCCGACGCCATGGCACTCACTCTAGCCCGGGCAAAAGAGTGAGACTCTGTCTCAAAAAAAAAAAAAGAAAAGGAGGTCTAGGCCAGGCATGGTGGCTCCCGGCTGCCGCCTGTAATCCTAGCACTCTGGGAGGCTGAGGCAGGAGGATTGCTTGAGGTCAGGAGTTTGAGACCAGCCTTAGCAAGAGCGAGAGCCCCGGCTCTACAAAAAATAGAAAAATTAGCCCAGCATGGTGGCACGTGCCTGTAGTCCCAGCTACTTGGGAGGCTAAGGCAGGAGGATAGCTTGAGCTCAGGAGTTTGCGGTTGCTGTGAACTGTGATGATGCCACTGCACTCTAGCCTGGGCAACAGAGTGAGATCCTGTCTCAGAAAAAAGAGGTGGGGGGCTCTTGCCTCTGGAGAATGAGTACTTCCTTTATTTCTCCTAAGCTGGTGGGGCTGGGGCGAGAGTGGGTAGAAGGGGCTGTGCTGAGAGCTAATGGGGAGAGAACTACCTCAGACAGCATGCAGGGGCGGCAGGGAAGAACAGGCCGTAAGGACCTAGGAGTTGGGACCTCTGCTCTAAAACTATGTGCTAGTGTTTCCTTTAAGTCAAACAGAAAAGACTTCAATTTCTTTCTCCCCATAATCTACTCACAGCTGTGAGCATATATTCAGTCCTGTTAGACTAGGATCCATGTGAAGGCAGGGACTGGGTCTGCCTTACTGCTGTCCCCCTAGGGCCAGGCCTGGTGCCTGAACATAGGAGACAGTCAATAAATCTGTGCTGGGCAAACAAGGTCCGAATTACCCTCCGGATTAGAATTTGTAATTAGTTTCTGTCTCAAAAATGCCCTCTCTGAAGAAAGTAGTTAAAATGTTGTAACTGCCCAGAGTGTAATCAATTCTTACCTCTTCCTTTACAAGTAAATGTTAAGATACATGTAGCTTCTTAACACATTTCTTTTTTTTGGGTCTTCCGGTAAAGACCGGAAAACCTGCTAGACAAATTCTCAAAGAGCTGTAACACTAACACATTTCTAATTTAAAAAGCATTTCTACTTCTGTTTTCCTCTGAGGGTCTCACATGCCTACCTCACTGAGAGTCTAGAAATCAAAAGACAGACTATGGATGTCTCTAAGCAAGCCAGGTAATTCAATTTCCTAGTCTGAGAGGAATGGTTTGGGAGAGGAGAGAGGAAAACAGGTAATAGCATATCCAACAGCTGAAAAAGAACTAAAGCCTACAGCCCAGTCATTTGTGGTTCACACATTTAGTTTTTATAAAAAGTAGGATCTTTTGGGGGTATGTAGAGAAGGAATGTGTAGCCTGTAGGGTTTGTTTTACATATCTTCCATGATTTTTAGGTAAAGTCAGAAAAATCACATTTATAAATATACCCTTATTTTTCCTTCCAGGAGGCTTTATAGGAGCACTAAGAAATAGAATTAGTTTGTCTAATTGGGAATTAAAAGTATAACCAATTGAGTGTCTTGCACAGTGAATGGACAGCAAAAATGCACCAATTTCCACTGACATAGGTCATTCATACCCTTCAAATAAGAAAAACCTCAGTAGTGTCCAGATCAAGCCACTGTAATGTCATTTCTAGGCAGCTTAAACACAAGTCACAGCCTGGTCTCCGTGCAGAGCCAGGAATTCTGAAGCCTGCGTGGACTAGCTCTTCTGGAACAGACGGGCTCAATTCCCAGTGAACTAGTGCTAGTCACTTCCCAGTGACTAGCTGCTAGTCTTCATTAAAAATGACTTCACATCTCACTCCCTCAGGTGGTCAGGATGATGTCCTTCACCTTACCTGACACAGGCACTTATGTCCACTACAGACTCTGGCCAGAAATAAGCCCTTCCACGTAAGGAGTCAAAAACGGTTAAATCTGAGACAGAAGCCAATTTCACAAATGTGCTAATTCTGCCTAGACATCCTTTCTTGATGAATAAAAAAGAATAAACGTGTCTCTCTTGTATCGTTTTAGGAACACAAATTTTAATTCTGTCTATTGTTTTCTTGAAGGTGATAACCAACCACTGATTCATGTGGTTTCCTCAAACATACACTGTCACCAAAGTGTCTACTGTGTGCCTTGTAGCAAGTAATGGTTATACTGGGTAGCTATCAGCTTGCTTCTATGCCTAAAAATAAGGAAAAATATCAGTGGTCATGTAAGAAATTCAATGCATTCAGTTTACGAAAAACACAATTTCCTTTCTTGATATATATGAGAACTTGGTAGAATTATAACTCTGGACAAATCTGTATAGTGTTGTCTTTAAAAAGGATGACGGGCCGGGCTCGGTGGCTCACGCCTGTAATCCTAGCACTCTGGGAGGCCGAGGCGGGTGGATGGCTCAAGGTCAGGAGTTCGAGACCAGCCTGAGCAAGAGCGAGACCCCTGTCTCTACTAAAAAGAGACAGAAATTATCTGGACAACTAAAAATATATATATAGAAAAAATTAGCTGGGCATGGTGGCACATGCCTGTACTCCCAGCTACTCGGGAGGCTGAGGCAGTAGGATTGCTTAAGCCCAGCAGTTGGAGGTCGCTGTGAGCTAGGCTGAAGCCACGGCACTCTAGCCCGGGCAACAGGTATTAGAGGTATTACCTTTTTTTTTTTTTTTTTTGCCATTGATAAGAATTTATTCTTCCCTTAAATAAGACTATAGTGCTCTGAATTATCTATTTATAGCTAGAATTGAGACTCTGTCTCAATCAATCAATCGATCAATAAATAAATAAATAAAAAGGATGACAATTTCTTAAAGTGCAATTTTCAATGACTGGAGCAGTGCAGGGCCTGTGCAAGAAGAGTGAATAGGCAGGATTGAGCATGGGGCTTGTGACTGATGGAGGCCTTGGTGTCTTACCTGTCACTGTACACAGACCTCTCAAAGATCTGTACTGGCTTCTTTTCAGGGAAGGGCTCCAACTGGACTTTGAGGCGGCTCATAAAGGAAAATGTCTGGAATGTGTAGGACCATCGTGCTGGCTCCCGGTACATCATATCCAGCAAGTTTCCAAGACTTTGGGCAGCACAGGCCTAGAGGGGAGTTACAAAAGAAGAGAATTTCCTAGAAGGCATATTTACTTCATGGGGTACATGCCCCCATCCCCTCCTGCAGGCAGGTTTTACTAATCAATGAGAGACGGAATTACAAAGGTTTTCTTTCACTAAAAAGATACAATCAGATCCTCTAGCTCAAAGTTACATAATCAGGGAAGAGATTTTCCTACCTTATTAGACAAGAAGCTGATAGAAGGAGATGAATGCCACCTTCAATATAACAGGGAAGAGCAGAGGAAGAACCATATACAGAACTAACACAATCACTGATTGATGGATTTGTAAAGTCTGTCTGGGGAGGAGTTAACAATCAACTGCTTATTTGAAAATCCGACCAACCAAATAAAATTCTGTATCTCTCATAGAAAGGCTACAATTTTTTGTTTCTTTTTTTTTTTTTTTTTTATAACGATGGTTAGATGCCATGAAGTAGGTGGCAATGCCTTAACTGTACGCGTGTTGTACAGGCCCGAGAGCCTCTTCCATCCTTGTCAAGGGGAGTGCTAACCTTCTCTCCTTTCATACAACACTACAATTTTTTGTTAAAACAAACAAACACACAAAACCAAAACCCTCTCCCTTCATTCTAAAGATTTCATGAAACGGAATTTGAAGAATTTCACTTATTCGGCATGTGCACGTGGGCACAAGTATGGGATACCCAGGAGCCCTGGATTGATTTCTGTATTTGCCACTGACTCAATGCAAAAGTGACTTTTGTGTAAAAGCACTTTGGATCTAATCACCATTAACTGAAGGCCTGTGTGGATGAGGTGCTACCTAAGGCAGGTGCTATAAGGTATATAGAAAAAGGAACTATCATTTATTTCAACCTTCACTGTGCTGTTATCTCATTTAATCTTCAAAACGGCTTCATGAGGTAGGTACTGTTGTTATGCCCATTTTCCAGAGGGGAAAATCCACTCAGAGGTTAAGTCACTTACTTGTCCAAGGTCTCATGGCAAGTAAGGACTGAGGGGACTCAAACCTTTAACCTCTTCATTCTAATACCTCTCCATATAAAGGTGAACAAGACATGGTTCCTGAACTCAAAGAGCTCACAACGCAAAAGGGAAGAGGGTGCCAAGGATATAAAGAGCTAGAATGTAAGGCAGAAATGTGACAAAGAGGTAGTCACATATGGTGGAGGGAATCTTGGGATGCTTCTGGAAGAAAGTGGCATTAAGCTGGGAAATAAATGATGAGCAGAATTTCCACAGATGGAAATGGCAATTAAGAAGACAGCATTTCAGGTGAAGACAGCGATACAGGGAGGGAAAAAAGATTAGACAACAATAAGTAGTCCAATTTGACTAAATAGCACCCTTAGATTCCAAAGAAGGGTCCTGGCACTTGGAAAAATTTCAGCAGCAGCAATGCATGCAGAGTAGAGTGGATCAGAAAACCACTTAATGGGAGGTGTATTCAGGAATTCCCTCCTTCCAATCCCCCGACCCACAAACACACAAACCCACAAACACACCCAGCCTCACAAATGGCCCCTGACTGAGAGCTGGAGGTTCAAGCAGGGGAGAAATCTGAATCCCCTCAAGTCCCTGTGGTGTCAATAGAGACTGTGGGGCACAGCCCTTGGCCTGAGCATAATTCACAGACGGCATGTGGAGTGGCACATGGTGCTAGCAGATGTAGTAGGTTGACGGTGGGGGCTATTGCACCTGCAGGCTTTGGGCTCCCAAAGGGAGACTATTCTGGAACAAAAGCTATACAGGGGACTACACAATTTCTGAAAGAATCCATCTTTGCTACAAAAAAAAAGTAAACATCCCTCCAAAAATACAAACAGAGAAATAACAATTGGATATAAAAATATTTGTAATTCAAAAGGAGAGGGATCAATCTGTGCGCTCAGACAGAGCTGTTGCCACAAACAGAAGAAAACACAACAAAACAAAAAAAATCTCAGATTCAAGATACTGTCTCATTGATAAAACAAGAATAGGCAATCATAAAAAAGGACAATATGAAAAGAACATTCTTAGAGGTGAAAATGTAATTGTCAAAATAAAACACCCAATGAAGATAATAACTAGCAGACTATATACTGTGGTAAACCTAATTAATGAATGAGAAGATCCCTACAGAATATCACGTTAAGAAATTCTCCCAAAACTAAGTGAAAAAAGCAAAAAATTATGAAAAAAAAAAAACCAAAAAATAAAAAGACATGCAGGCTAAAAGGAGAGCTAATATACATTATAATATATTAATATATTGGTAGGGTATTCTTTGCTTTTTCTTTCTTTCCTCTGGAAAGATACATTGAGATGTAGTATCACGTGTGTTCCACTTCACAGCAATTAATACAATTTTGTATCACACAATTTTCCAAACAGGGGCCAAAATGGTTTCCTGCAACTTCAAACCATCCCTAGCTCAGAGAAAGCTACCTAATCAAGGAAACAATTTTCCCTCTCAGGAGACCACAGACCAATCAGAGAGATGAAATGCCACCCCCAACAAAAAAAGACATGAGCAGAGGAAGACCCCTCTCATAAAGTGTGTGTCTCCCTGGCCATGGAGAATCATTATCTAACAGAAATAATGTGATTTCTCTAGGTATTTTAGGACATAAACTAAGTTTCACGATAAAACTAGGAGTTCCAGTCAAGGGACTCATTAGATGAAAAAGCAGTTAAAATCAAGGGAAAAATTAAAGAAAAT